GACCGAAAGCTGCTACCTTGACGTGGTGGTCGGGCTTGAACACCGCAATGACCCAACAAGCTATACTGGCTGGAACTTATGTTCCTGCAGGTCCTACCCTGCCAGGAAGGTTGTTCGGATAGCGGTTAGACTAAAAGCAGTTACACAAACCAATCCAATGACTTCAAACAAATCACAAAATATCATGCCGGATCGGTCGGGGCCCGGATTAACAACGACCGCGCTTTCTGCTGCCGTGTCACAGGGCAGAAGTGATAAATACGCTACTGAGACACACCAAATAAAAAACAACAAACAAAAACAGGCCGTGTGTGACCGGCCTCAAGCAGTTGTCCCCTGGGCTCTGCGGTCACGCAACCAACTTCCACGGTGTGGGCAGCCGGGAAGCAACAATCGCCCTCACAACCCGAAGAGCACACGAAACCTCTCTTAGAGGAAACAGTAGGAGAGAGGAACTACTTCGCTTTAGTGTACTAATTTTCCCACCCTAAGAATCGACTACCAAAAGTAGTGACGTCTGCATCTTCAGTCGACTCGTCCAAGAGGGGACTAGACAGACACAGATACTTATCAGTAAGAGATTAACATAGCCTTGAAGCCTTCTATCCTGAATCAAAAATTTAAATCTGAATAATAATTCCACAAATTATTCAACTAATGAAAATGTTTTTTTCTAGGCAGTTCACTCTAAGTACTCTCAAACAAACAATATTACGTAAGCTCATTTTCAGCAATGAAATCACAACATATCTTCTGAGTGTGGCTTTTGCATTTAATACTTTGTTGATTTATTGCAGAATTTTTCTGCAGAGTCTACTCAACCGACCTGCAGGGCGTGTTATCCCTTATTCTTTAAACAAACCTTTTAAAAACGTAAACGGGAATTTTCGAATTGCACACGACTGATGTTGACAGGTATTTTGTAAATACTTGCATCAGTTGACAGGTATTTAGCTTGGTTGAAGTGGTGCTCATCTAGTTCTGTACTAAAAAAGTGGTGGTGTAAATTCTCATTCTGTTGTTCATTTTGACAAGATTATGTGCTTTATTTATGGTAGCCTAAAACCGTAAATGTGATAGTGTGGACACGGCGCATACTGAGAGTACTTTAAAGCTTTGAACTCCAAGTAAATTCAAATTTGGGGGAAAGGGGGATAACAATGAAAAAACGTGCAGACTAAGAGTAAAGGGGAGGGTATTATTGAGAAATGGATGAAATGTAGGGAAAACGATTAAACCAAAGGAAATGAGGCGAGATATGGGAAAAATGGTATTCAGCGAAAATTCGCACCCACTTTACCCTTCTCAGTCCATTGACTTTTGCCTTTTTATCTCAGTTATAGGCTCACTTTCCCATTTTTTGACTGATTGGGAATGGGGTTGAAATAATGCCGAGAACTTCTACATACCTGTCTCGGCACCAAGAACCCGAAAAAATTTGGTTCTGGACACAAGAGGTGACATTATAGTGACGGATATGTGTCGTAAATCAGAAGCAGTTACTTTTACAAGACCGCTTTGGAAGATCTGCACAATGCATCTTTCAGTTCACCGGGTAACTGGATAATAACGACAGGGGAGTTGGTGTTTGAAACCGGATTGTTAAGTAACAGCTTTTCATTTCCATTGCAGACAACTTAGATACAGCCGAATCAGTTAAAGAGCGTTTGATATTAATTAGACAGAAAGCATCTAAACAGTTTGATGAATGAGACACTTTACTCTAGAAAGAGACGAAATCTTAGAGGTAAACCACTACAGGGAGTTTCCCAATTTAATCACTAGGGAGGCGCAAGTTACAGGTAACAGCTTCCTCTACAATTTTCAACACATGTGAAGTCAGTCCTTCTGTGGTGAGAGATGTCTGAAAGCCAAAATTGTAGACAACAATTTACGCCAACGTTTACGTCTCGAATCGGGGTCATAAGAAGAAAAAAACAATAACAAAGCCTAAGCTTGAGGAGCTCAACAACCAGTCAGAGCAGACTTAACGTGTGCAAATACGATTCGCAGACATATGACCTGACTTTCTAAGAAACGGTCACAAGCAGTACAGAATAACCTTCAGCATGAAAACAACCAGTGAGAAAACGTTGCTTCTCCGCTAACAACGCTAATAATGTATATAAAAATCTATAAATATCTCTTGATTTTCTCAATAAACAATCTGTTGTCTGGCCCTTGTCTTCTGTCGTTACACTTCTATATGGGTCACAAACTTGCATTGCGTGTCACAATAAGGATTTCCAACAAGTTACAGACCCTTATCAACAGCTGTCTTCGCTGTCTCCATCCTGAAGATCAAATGGCTGGCCAGAAAGAATTAGCAACAAGAAACTCTGGCAACAAACCAATCAAGAGCATATTGCTCAACGAATATGTAAGGGAAAATGGAGATGGATCGGGGGGAGTGTAAACTCAAACTGATATGCTAGCAAACCCAACCCACTTTGTCGATCATGTCGGCTCTTACCTATGACTCGCATAAACTACAACTGACGTCATTGAAACAACACGAATTAACAATGGCGACAACTTATCTGGCCGATGTGTGAGGCATTGGGATGAAAACGTTGAAGTGATTTGTAGGTATTGCAACACATTTATATTTAATTGTATTGATTGCAACTCATTCAGTGTCGCCTAAGAACTGGCCATTGTTAATTCGTGTTGTTTCAATGACGTCAGTTGTAGTTTATGCAAGTCATAGGTAAGAGCCGACATGATCGACAAAGTGGGTTGGGTTTGCTAGCATATCAGTTTGAGTTTACACTCCCCCCTACCTTTAAGTGGGGTACTTTTAAGGTGATTCCTTCTTCATTCACTAATGTACCGTTCCTTTCAGAATAAATGGGGAAATACCGTATTGCATTGATTGATGGAAAAAATGAGGCGGTGATATGCCGGAGCTCCTGGTTTCTTGGACCTGAGCTAGTCGTTTGCAGCCAAACAAATTGGGATACTGCATATGAGGAGGAATACCCGAAGGTTGACTGGAAGATGGAGCAGTGTGAGGTTATTTGTGAAACAGGTTAGCCGTTTCGCTACTCAACTATTTCTCCAGATGACTTGCAAGAAGCACTTGCAAAGCACAAGGCATTACAAAGAACCTACAGCACTACCAATTGCAGTCAGTCCTCGAAATCTATTACAGTCTGCACACAAAAGCGTCAAAAAAACGTAAGAATCGTTTGATACTTGACTCAATAATTAGTGCACCGGAAAATGACCTTTTTGTAAGTGACGACTACCCATCTGACCTGATGGATAACCAGTGCAATGTCTTCGAGGACCCAGATTACGCAGACCTTGATAGTAGTGCACCTGTTTCGAAAAGGAATACCAGGTATGACAGATATTTAACCTTACATTATAATGAAGTAGTTTTGGATTCATGTCGAAGAGTACTTTACAGATGGTTGCTACTACAAGTACACCTGTTATGTAAGTAATACTAAAATTAATAGCCATTCTTTCTCAGGTCACCCAAGGATACTAAGGGTCTCCAGGAATTGACGAATGCTATAAAAAAGCTAACAGGTGCATTTCGTTCTTATTTATGTTTATCTTATAATTATTTAACAGTTTGTGTTGAAACACTATGTGAATCGCAAGCGACATTAATTCAGCGTCTGAACTTCACGTTGGCCACTAACAATGACGGCACAACTGATGATGGCGAATACTATGTTAAGCTACCGGTGAAATCATTTGCTATGCTTCAAATTTTCGAACGTAAACTTAAAAACAGGAAGTATTTTGAGGAAATAGTAAGGAATTTCAACCAAGTTTGTTTAATTGATTCGTTTCAGATGTGCCAACTCTCATTTAAGGTGCAAAATACGCAACCACATCTACGCGCCGGTTGCTGAGTGCAGTCCTCAATAAAAGCCTAGCAAGACTGATGACTTATAAGGGTACTACAGAAAAGACTGGTGTCCGAGACTACACATTTTTCCAGCTTATAATTGGTATGTTGACTTTTTGGAATCAGAACATTGTATACTTAACAAAAATTCAGATGTCATCATTCGTAAGCAAATACAACTTGGGTCCACCGAGGAGGAAACTCTCGAAGTGATAGTCAAAGCAACCAAAAATTGGTGCCATGATCAACGTATTCGCAAAAAAATGGATTTCTCACCAGAAGAGGTAGTTATTAGGGAAAGTATTTTCCTTTTTATGCACTTAATGGTTATTGACGCGTATTCAACTGCTTCCCTCTTTCCTTCATTACAGATGTGTGCCAACGTCATTCAACCTGGGCTCAGCCAATCAATGTCCTCAGAATAATTTAGGAGGTCATTTAGTGGAATCTTTCATCCGGTTACTGTTTTTTTAAACCGACATTTCACTGTATATAAAATTCCCTAACTGTGTTGGCCTTGTTTTATATCATTGGCATAAGCATTGAATTAGGTAAAAGATCCGTAAGGCGAGTCGCTGAGCTCGTAACTGTGGTAAATTCGATTGCAGTAGTAACTATAAAGAACGACAATGTGTAAGCAGTTCCTTAGACAACAGGTAGGACTAATACGCTAATTAAATGTAATAATACGTGCAGTTGAATGGGAAAAATGAGGGCCTTTCCTCGTCACGAAAATAGCAGTAGTGGGTAAACAGGTCGTTGAAAAAGTGGGTAAACTGTTCGTTGAAAATGTGGGTGAACGGGGAAAAGTGGGTATATTTTGAATTTCTGCACATGGTATAATTGGGTGAAAACGTTGGTCGCATGGGAAAAAGCGGACAATATGGGCAAAGTGGGTAAAATATGTAGCATTTACAACGTTTTTTGCCCACCTGTTTGCCGATCAAAATTACCCATTTAGCCTACGTTTTGGCCACATTGCCCAGGTGCATAAACCGACTGGGTATATAGACGTAGTGTCATTTAACTCTCAGACTTGTAGGAATGCTAACTGCTTATGTAGGAGATCACAATATTTCAGTAACTATAAGAATAATGGAGAGGTGAATTATCACAATGGAATTATACTCACACGGAAAAGATTATTTTGAATTGGTGGGATGACCTTGAATACGGCCGTAACACACAGCTTGAATCACGCTGCAAAAAACAATTAAACAACTGACTATATTTGGTGTAAAGCTGATCACTGTCAGTAAGACAGAAATCGTCCATTAATATGAACTCTTGAAAGGAGTTTATTCTACGTAATTCCAGTTGGGTTTCAGATTCAGTTACAGATTTATTGGTTGAGGATAGAAGGCTTGGAGCCTATGTTAATCCTTTTCTAGTAAATTTCTGTGGTTGTCCAATTTCTTCTTGAATGAATCAGTTGAGTTGCAGACACCACTTCGTCTGGGAGTTGGTTCCGAGAGTTTATGACTCGGTGTGAGAGCCAGTACTCAACAGCCATATGATTTCTTCTTGGCCTTTGAACTCTCATGCTTTGTCCTCTAGGGTGTTCCGACTTGGTGGGCAGGAAAAGAGAGAATAGTTCAGGTGCGTAGTCATTATTTAAAATTTTAAATATTGTGATTAAATCTCCTCTCTGCCAACGGTCTGACAGGGAGAAGAGATTTAAAGTGTCTAGTCTTTCCTCGTATGATAAGTTAGTCATGCCGAGAACCTAACGTGTTGCCTTCCTTTTGACCCTTTCTAGAATTTGTAAGCCCCCTTTAAGACAAGTACTGGCTGCCCGGATACAGTTTTCCAGTCATGACCTCACCATCGATGTACATAAGGAGGTGAACATATCTTTGGTGATTCTAGTAAAGGTTCTGCGAATTGCCCATTAGGAGCTGAAACTACGTGCAGCCACCGCGCGACAATGTGCTGTAGTTTTTAAATCGTGGCTAACTATGACACCTAAGTTCAAGTGAGGGTTGACACCATTCCTCTACAGACTTGGTCTTCGCTAATTTGTTTAAGGTTGTATTTGATTATCAGTGACCTTCACTGTCTGGTAATCATGAAATCTTAAAATGACTGTTTGAATGCCCCTTCACTAGCATCTTTATGAAGCGAGTATACATCAGTAATTAATAATGTCAGCTGACTGTAGTCTTGACACACCAGTGTCAAACTAGGATGAAGTAAACCTCCAGTTTTTGTCTTGGAACCAGTGGCACGATTATCCTTTGGTTTGCTGGTAAAATAACTCCTTGTAGAGTACTCCGGGTTGACAAGTAGACAAAGGATTAATTTGAACTGAAGATTTCATTTCGCGAAATTTACAAAATCTCAGGAATAAGTCATTTTCGCTGACTCCTCTTAAGATTAGAAAAGCATGAATGGATTTGTTCCCGACATTTTTACCATAAATGAAGAACTAAAACGAGTTCCGGAATCCATATCTCTCGACCAAATGGTGTTTGTGTTTTAAGGTGAAATCGGCCAGAATAAGGCTGAACATTTTCTGGTTATTTTTTCCAGGTCTTGCTAATACACAAGAGAGTCCAACATTTTCTTTCTACTCTTCGTGGATCCACTTTAAATAATGACAAGGGCTTCCCTTGCCTTTCGTAACCTAAGCGTCACGGAAATATTCCATTTTGATCCTGTTGCCTACAGCCAACTAGGGGAAAGGTCCTGCAATCAGTACTTGATCTGAGATTACGGGAAAGATAACAACTTTGCTTTATATCTTAGAGAGACGTGATTTTGTGGAATAAGAACGAAATAGATTCAAATATCACCCTTTAACTAATTATAAACAAAGAGGATTTCTCTGAATCCGAGTGCAGTGAACTCCTTGTTATTGTTGTACTTACTGACTGCAGTAGGCACGTCGAAAAAATATCGACTACCCGAGTTAATGCTCTTATTGTATGCAGCATTCCGATTCGGATTCGGAGCTGTTCATGTAATACAAGGCAGTATAGTGCTTAAACGAAAGCCAGTAGCCAGTGGTATTCATCAGTATGTTATCTCTGGGTCTTTCCAATTCGCCCTAATTTCGGCGGGCTGCTGAAGACGCTAATATATAAGTTGTTTCCAATAGTTGATCACATCAAAGCTTTGATGCTTATCGGCAATACTAATGACAATGTCAATTTATGGTAGACGTTAAATATCACGTTCTGGAACAGCTGTTAAAATTTCACTTGGAATTTCTTTGTCAATAATTTTTAATAAAATTGTGTTATATGTTATCTGGATTGATGGGAATTACCATTTTCTGGCCAGTTATTTTAGTGTCCGCGTCATGTAATCTGATTGCGACACCCCCTAGCATATTGGTTGCATCGTTCAGTGTTTCAGGCGAACTGTAGCAAAATATCGCTATAATGAGAAAGATAAGATAGTTGAAGGGTAATGTCATCCACACAAATAGTCTACCTTATTTAGATGCTGCACCTTTCGTCATGGTATCATTCAATGGAGACTTCACGTCTCAGGATATTAATTCAGCCTATTTCCGTGTGAAGGACAGTCCTTTTTGGGTTCCTGTTGTTTAGAGTTGCCATAAATTCATCGAGATAACTGTATATCATAGGATTTCTCGATCCGTTCACGATACATCTCTGCAGTAGTGATACCATTGCACTGCCGACACTTCCGAATTCTCTGTTTCATAAGCTGTTACTGTTACTCGCCTGTTGAGTAACCAGAAATTGCAAATCATTAAAATTTTTGTTAATGGCAATTTAGACTTCGAGAAAAACGTGCCTAAGGAATCTGTAAACTTAAAAAGAACGACATACCCTCTCGAACTGATTTCCTTTTTCGGCACAGAATACACCTGTACGCAAACCCATCAATGGCCTTTGTGTATTTCTCTATTTGCATAACACCTCTGCATTGACCAATTTTAGACCTTGCAATAAGTCGGTGGCCAAGTTAAACTTTAGACACCAATAAATACCAATCAGCGAACGACGTCGAATTATTCAATGAGATTCACGAACGTGGTTAAATGTTGTATAGCGCTTGATTCATTTCTACGCGTGCCCTAACAAGGTTGCGTTTGCGATTCGAGGATGATAGAGTCTTTCAGTATTGCATGGACTTAGGCTTGCTTCTAAAGGAGAGAAGTTGTTCGTGTGGTGGTGTAATGATTATTTAGGGGTTGGAGGTATCGACGTTCGCGAGTTGTACGGATTATACTAACGCAAGATCTTATACCAACAACTTCTATAGTTTTCGTTCTTCGAGTACCAAATGGTAAAGCAAAAGACCAGATTTTGTCGTCCAAAGTACGTATTATATTTCGGGACAAAATCGCGGGTAGAGGTGAATGCTTAGCTAGCTAGTAATCGTGCACGCACATGACACGACGGAGCACCAAATGGCGGGGATGCTTGACCGTAAGCCTTCAGCTAAACAAGTCGACTTAAACAGTGGTGGTCAGCATCCAATGTTGAGTGATGATTGCTGTGGTTAATAATTTTGGGGAATTATTTACCGCTACAGCTCACTCCCCCCCTAGTGGGTTTGTGAGGACCCTAAGACATGACCAGCCGGAAGTAAAAAAATCTCGATGGTTCCCTGATGGGTGAAAAAAATCTTCCGAGCGGCTTGATCGAGAGCCTGCTGGTCTGTCTGCCTATGCTAATAGGGTGTCTGTACATAGCTTCCTCGATGTTTTTCGTTGGATCCCGTGCTTCGTTTGTTTCCTGTCCAGTGCCCGTTGCACCTGGAAAAGAAAACAAGAATGCTGAGAACCTTGTCAAGAAAAATGTACCAAATAAGCGTTTTTTACCAAAAAAAAATGACATGCATCTACTATACAGTAAAATAATGTAAAGTTCAAAATATCGGGAAAAAATATACATCTAATTTAATTTTATGTACGGTTATAGGAAAAATATCATTTAGTTGTGTTAAATGACGCAACATAAAAAATTGATGTGTCACTCAGTTATGTGAAACAGGTGTGAAGGTATTCTGGGAATCTAACGTGACGTCCAGAACGCGTTTTCTTAGAGTGATCGACCGAAGTAGTCAGTGGGCGAATGCCCTCACAGTCAATAGTGTGACCCAGAAAATCGAGTGAGCCAACGCCTATTTGACACTTCTGTATATTGATGGTAACACCATGTTGGCGTAACCTTTCAAATGCCAGGTCCAAGTGTCTAAGGTGAGTTTCCTTATCTGGACTGGCCATGAGGCAGTCGTCTAAGTATGCGTATACAAAGTCGAGACCGCGAAATACTTCATCGATGAAGCGTTGGAATGTTTGGGCCGCATTCCGGAGGCCGAATGGCATACGTAGGAATTCAAAAAGTACGAAAGGCGTGATGATAGCCGTTTTCGGAATATCTTCCGTTGCCATCGGGATTTGGTTATATGCTTTAACCAAGTCGATTTTGGAGAATATAGATGCTCCAGATAACGTTGCCGTCAAGTCGTGTATGTGAGGCAAAGGGTAGCAATCAGGAGTTGTTTTGGCGTTCACTCGCCGGTAATCACCAGTGGGTCGCCAATCGTTACTATCCTTTTTCGGTACCATATGCAATGGGGATGCCCATGGACTATTCGATGGCCGAATGATGCCAAGGGTGAGCATATGATCGAATTCGTTTCTGGCAATTCTCAGTTTGTCAGGGGCCAGTCGTCGTGCTTTAGATGTCACGGGCTGTCCTGAGGTTATGATGTGGTGCATAACATTGCTGGTTATGCACGGGAGATCGTTAGATGGGCAATTGAGTTCCGGGTATTTGTCAACAATCGGTTGAAAAGTTGGATCGAGGATTGCTTTCATCTTAACGATTGACAAACTGGGGCCACTGTAAGTTATGCCTTTGATAGACAAACTAGTAGTGTTGTCAATTAGTCGTTTATGGCGGACGTCTACGAGCAGATCATGATGATTGAGTAGGTCCGTGCCGATGATGGGCATTGTGACGTCAGCGATTAGAAACATCCACCGAATAGATTTGCGTACACCTACGTTCAGATAGACGTATTTCTGACCATAGGTTGCAACTGGTTTTCCATTTGCAGCCTGTAGGTTGAAGTTAGGATCCTCCTGTCGATCTGCTTCTGTAGCAGGAAGGACGCTGACTTCGGCGCCTGTGTCGACTAGATATCTAGTCTGGCTCATTATATTAT